ACAATATTTGGTTACATTTAATATTCAAACACCAATCCCATCACCATTACACCTTCCCACCACCATATTTCAGGTGTTTCTATCCCGAACCCTAATCTCTGCCCCAAGACAGAACCAAAATAATATATTTTGTATTGTTTGTTATCAAAAACCACTGAAAATGCAACAAAAAAATTATCCTTAGAGGAAAGAGTGTGAAGATTGTTGTATTTTACCTAAGGACCATTAAGCCCTTCTATAAGAGATCACTAACATGTTATTAAAGGTTGAGCCTTGTGTGCTTTTTATATATATGTATCTGTAAAAAAAAAAAGTACATTTACCCTCTAAGATTGGTTGCCTACTCCTTTGAAGACTATCAAATTTGGTGCCGTAATATTGGAGTATGGGTAGGGTATGTGGTTTGGAGTATTACTCTGCTGCGTGGTCCAGGAATAGATTTATTCGTGAGTGAGGCTTTTCCCAAGCGTGTGGAGAGTGGCTGTGAACATGGTAGTAGCTGGATTCTGGAGGTTGTTGGCTGCTGTGGCTGGGTCCCTTGGGGTGGGGACGACTTGGGGTCTTTGTATTTGTGGATTTCTCAAAAAAAAAAGGCTGCTGGTGTAAGAAGTGAATGTCTGAGTCTGGTGTAGAGAGTTCCTGGTGCAGACCTACCATGGCTCTAGAGTATATACTGGCCTCAGTGAGGGTGGGGTTCCCATTTGGGTGTGTGTGTGGGGCAGAACACAGGCCTTGATTCGGGGAGGTGAAGTGCCCTGACCGGATCCCCTCTATTGGAAGAAGTGTCTTACTGTATCACCCCGTTGCCACTGCATGCCGTGACGGAGCAGAGGCCTGTTCACCCCTCCACCCCGAAGGTCAGTCTTGGAGCTGGGAGAACTGGCGGCCCCACCCCCAATGCAGTTATGTGAGCGATGCTAGGCTGGGAGCCGAGAGGCCACTCCCTCCGGGGCACCCACAGCGGCTCCTGCATGAAGGGAAGACATTGGAGCCCCCAAGGCATGTCACATTGCAGGGCATTCCAGGAAACTTGACATGGGGTCCCCGTGGCCCTAATATGGATTGTGGCTGGAGGCCCTTAGCACAGAGCGAGCCAGCCGCCCGGAGACGGAGACGCGGGCTTGTCTGCTTCTGTCTCCACTGGTTTTATGGGCATATTTCTCACCCCCTGTTCTGCTGTTAAAAATAACGCCAGGCACACACCACATGTCTCAGACTGCAAGACCTATTTCCTTCTAGTATGCTGCTCATTTGCCTCGGTTTCCTACCCTGGAAAGAGGAGGCCCCAGAGGATTCTGTGATTGATTTCTACTTTGGTACTTTTTTTTTTTTCCCTTCTCTTCTCAGCTGCTTTGAAAGAAAATGAAATTAGTGAGCTTTGTTCTCTCTCTCTCTCTCTCTCTCTCTCTCTCTCTCTCTCTCTCTCTCTCTCTCACTCTCACTCTTGCTCTCCCTCCACCCCCAGCTGCGAGGCAGGAGCAGACGTTCTCTGTAGACAGAGCAGGACTGTTGGGCACTCTTACAGAGTCTCCAGTAGTCTCCATCCTGCCACCCTGGCCCTGTCCTGCTCTGGCTGTGGAAGGATGGCAGATGGAAACTAGGGGGGTTGGACTGGAAGGAACTGAGATCTCATTAGTAATCCAGTAGCCCAGGATGAGGCAACTCTGGCAGCACCCAAGCAACTGTGTGAAGGTGGGTCCACCCACCCAAGCCCTCACTTCAGGTCAACTTGTCAGACCCAGCCAGGTCCCCTGGGTGTCAGGACACAGACTCTTGGTCTCAGTGAGTGGGGCAGCACAGGAATGAGACAAACAGGGGGCCACAGTGACCTGGAGAGCCCTGCCTTCTGTCAGATGGGTAGGATCTGGCCTTGTTCTGCCCTTAGGAGCAGAGTGTCCAGCGAACAGGGCCCATCTCAGCCCATAGCAGTAGCCAACTGGTCTTCAGGGCTCCTGGACTCCTCTGAGACCCACCCCCTACCCCCCTTGGACCCTGTCATCATTTGAAATATTCCTCCCTGGCATGGCAAGTGCCAGCTTGCTGTAATCCCAGTTAGAGGAATGTGGAGACATCTCATAGGCTGGAACCTTGCACGTGGTGGTCTCAGGTTCAATACCCAGCACTGTAGCAGCCCAGCACTCCAGAGTCACCCTGATGAAAGGCCAAACAGCACCCCGACATCTAAACCACTGCACCAAATACTGTCAGGAGTGGCCCCTAGGCCCCCAGCACTGCTTGGATGCCTACTTCCCCTCCACTAAAAATAGTATTTAAGATGCAGGATGGAAATTAGACATTTCTCAGATGGGGGCATTGAGGCTGACAGAGAGGCTGGTCAGTCACAGAGCAGAGGCACACTTCTGGGCACTGGCATGGATCTGGGGCCTCCTTTGCCCTCCCCCCAGCTTTGGGTCTGGCCTGGGGCTTCTGTCTCTCCCAGGTCCTTGTGCAGTGGCCATGATCTCAAACTGAGTGTGACTCTATGCTCTTTGAGGGTCGCCCGGGACCCGGCAGTAAAACCTACATCTCCTTGGATCGTTGTGGGCAGGTTTTATTGACGGGGAAAGCCTCCAAAGCAGACAAACCCCTTGACTCAGAATTTGCAGCAGACTGAAATGGTTTTTACATCAGCAGTGGGACAAGAGGGGGGTGTTTGGGCGGCAGATTAATAGGGTCTGAGGGAGAACACAGACTTCCCGTCCTTCCCTTAAACACTTTAACAATGTCCACAGAGCCACAGAAGGGAGTCTGCAAGGACCTGGGGGAGCCTCGTGGCCAACCCAGCTCATTTTACACATGAGCACACAGCCCCGGGGCCTTGGCTGCAGGCCTCCTGAGCTCATTTGCCTGGCCAGGTGCCGGGGGTCCCGATGGTGGGTGGGTTTTCTCTCTGCGGGAGCAGCACTGTTCACGGGAAGCATTCTGCAGGCTCCGTCAGCCCTGAGGATGAATTTTCTATGAACTTAGGATGCAGCACTCAGAAGTAAAGGTTCTTTCTGAGTGTGGGTAGGAATCTACAGATGGGAGTGGGGTGCAGAGGACCAGAAGATCATGTAGAACCACAGCTCTACACGATCCTAGGGGTGAGACCTGTGACACTGTCCCCATGCCCCGCAAACAGGTGAATAATACTGTGGACTGCGGTGTCAAAGGTACACTTTGAGGTTGCAAAGATGGCCAGAGGCAACACAAAGGGAGAACTGATCCACACAATTGAGTTGTGGGGGTTGAAAGAAAAAGGGATGTTGTGGTCCTTGTGGTAGGTACACTGGTGATAGGAGTGTTATTGATGAGTGTTTGGTTTGAGAACCCTGACCCCAGTGCAGACAGAGGAACAAAGGTGAAGAAAGTGAAGAAATAGGAGAAGCTCATTATAAAGTGGAGAAAGAGAGAGTGGCTCTTTCGGCCAGCCCCTGCACTGGCCCCTGGAGAGGCTGGGGCAGAGCCACGCCTTGGGACAGACTAAGGGGGCTTTTAAGTTGTCTTGGGTGGGAAAAGGGGACAAAGACCAGTGGGACCGGTGCGCCAGGCCTGGCCTTGTTATCTGCTGGGGGTCAATGCAAGGAAACTTGATGGCTTTCTGTCGCCAGGTGGCCCATAAGTCCATGCAGGGAGCAGATGATCTTTAACTCTGGGAGTGTGTTAACTCATCATCCAGTTGCCACTGGGTTGCTGTTTGGTCCGAGCAAACCTTACAATGAGACACTGTCATTAACAGTATTATAAACCAGAACCTCAATGAATAAAAAGTAAAACATTTGTTTTAAAAAGGTGCTTTTGTGAGTCCCAGACTCTCGTTAGAAGCTCTGGTCCGTGCAGCAAAGCAGAAGAGGAAAGTTCTACAGAGTATCAGGTACTCTGCACTCAGTGCCAGCACTGCCTCTGGAACCTGCCAATGGCGTCTTGTCAAAAAGTCTTTGCTGATGTAACTAAGCATTTCAAGATGGGAGATCATCCCTGCTAGCTCCTCAGGCAGGGGCCCCAAGGCCAGCAGAATGGCATGATGGATGCCGGCACCTGCCAAAGCTCACTCACGCACATTTATTGATGGAAAATCTAAGCTGGGCATGGCCAGTGCTGTCGTAGAAGTAACATCTCATTTTCAGACAGAGGCTGTGGTAGGGTAGGAAGGCTCAGCTGGCCCCATGCATTCCAGGGCAGAGGCACAGCAGCTCTGCTTGGGGAGCACCTGGCAACTGAATAGGGCCTTATTGATGGCAGAGTCAATCCTCCCAGCCCCGAGGGAGTGGGATTGAAGATATCATTGGAGCTTTTATGACACGCCTATCGATCTGAGGTGGTGTATAGCTATAAAAGAACTATAAATGAGAGCAAACCCAAAGCAGAGGGGCATTTGTCTTCCACCCGTGAGGTCCGCAGGGCTTCTGGAATGCAGGGAACGGAAATCCCTACCTGCAGGATTGTCTCATTCTCCCCCCCAAGTAAAGATGCCAGTGTCCTTCTCATGACGGAAATCTAGTCCTTGTCCTTGCTCAGAATGTGACCTTGGTGGCCCTGGTCAGATTGTGGGCTTCCCTCCTCCCTTCCATACCTCTTCCCTTCTTTTTGTCTTACTCTCCCCTTTTGCGTTCTGTTATCTGGTCTCTGTGTAGGCCATAGGGCCTCTCACACAGTGATCAGGAGCCTCACCCCTCCTGGCTTTACTCAGTCAACTGGGCTGCTCACTTAGGGGTTCTGGGTCGTGATGTAACACTGCCATGAAGGCCAATCTTGCAGTGCTGGGTGTGTGAGTGTGTGTGTGGGGGGGGGGTGAAGGGGGGCACTCCAGGGGTACACTGCTGGCACTCGAGTGCTCTAGAAGTATAGAAAGTGGCACTAGGGCCTTGCCCAGACATTTGCTGCTGACCTCAAGACCACACTTCTGTTGAATTAAAGGGTCTTGACATATCACTGTTAAAAGGTTAGGAATAACAGTCAAATCATCAATCTTGATAAGACAAGTTATGTGAACATTGGACTCTCTGCTTTTTATTTTGCAGAAATCCGAGAGGCCTTTCGGGTACTGGACCGAGATGGGAACGGCTTCATCTCTAAGCAGGAGCTGGGGATGGCCATGCGCTCCCTGGGGTACATGCCTAGTGAGGTGGAGCTGGCCATTATCATGCAGCGTCTGGACATGGACGGTGAGCACTTGGTGTCCCCATCCCTTCCCTGAGCTGAGCTCCAGCACATCAGTGGGGCCTTGAATTTGAAAGGGCACCAGCAAGTCAAAGTTTCGTGTCTTGGTTTATCTTTGAAGAGTGCATTTGGATCCAAACAGGGTTTTGCAAGCAATGTTCCTCAGAGCTGCAGGCTCCTAGGGAGGATTCTAGGATTACCAGCAAGAGATAGGAGGCAGGCTGGTGGATCACTGAAAGAGATCTTTTTATCAGCATTCCAGGTTAGGAATCATCTATCCTGAAATCCACACACTGTTCTGTGAGACTCAGTGACTTGCAGGGTGTTCCCATATTAGTGAGTGCTGAAATGAATTTTAGGATATTTTCTCACCACTCTCTGATGAACCCCTGTCCCTGGTTAGCAGTCATCTCTCAATCCCTCAACACTCTGACCTCTCCAGATCCAAGGAAACCACTAATCTATTTTCTCAGTGGCTCTGCCTCTGCTGGACATTTCACACAAACAGAATCAGAGACTATGAAGTCAGCTCTGGCTTCTTTGACTCAGCTTAGTGTTGATACCATCCATTCCAGATTATGTCTTCTTGAAATTTCCTTTTGCAATCTCTTTTTTGCTGAAGGAATGCATCCTGGGAAAGCACTGCCAGAAACACATCAGGGTCATACCTAATTCTGAAGGAACTTTTGGTCATTGTGCATTCATATTCTTCACCCTGTTAGCAGCTGTTCTGTGACCCCCACATTCTGTCCTGCTGGATGATGGGGAAGGATGATAATCAGGGTGAGGAGATGGTGGTGAGCACCAGCACCATCCTCCAGTGCAACATCCTCTCTGGCTCAGATGAAGCTCTGGCCAGGCCTTCAGGAGGAGGAGCTGTCCCAGCCTTGTCCTTGCAACTCTTCTAGACTGGGTCTCAGTGTTTCTGCATTTGGACTTGCCATAGCTGTGTATTTCAGAAAAGTGGGGGCAAAGCAAACCTATCTTCCCTTGGGGTTGGAGCAACAGCACAGCGAGTAGGGCATTTGCTTTGCACGCAGCCAACCCGGGTTCAATTCAATTCCCAGCATCCCATATGGTCCCCTGAGTACCGCTAGGAGTAATTCCTGAGTGCAGAGCCAGGCCTAAGCCCTGGGCATGACCCAAAAGCAAAAAAAAAAAAAAATCTATCTTCCCTTGTCCCTCCACCATCATTTCAGAGATACATTTACAGGAAAACAGCTCCACCCGTAAAACAATGAAACTCTTTGTCTGTATTTCTGTGTTTGGGCAGAAGGTTTGATTCGCCTTCCATGTGTTCTATAGTAAAGCCTACCAGTCCCCAGCTACCAGTATGAAAATTAGGCGCATTGAATGAAAAGTTGCTGGGACTGTGGAGGAAGTTACTAAGACCCTCCCGTTGATCGTCGATTTGCTTGAGCGGGCCCAGTAACGTCTCCATTGGAGACTTTGTTGTTACTGTGTCTGGCATATCGAATATGTCACGGGGAGCTTGCCAGGCTCTGCCGTGCGGGCGAGATACTCTCGGTAGCTTGCCGGGCTCTCCGAGAGGGGCGGAGGAATCGAACTCGGGTAGGCCATGTTGGCCACTTGTAAGGCGAACACCCTGGAGCGATAGCACAGCGGTAGGGCGTTTGCCTTGCACGCAGCCAACATGGAGGAAGTTACTGAAGTCCTCAAAATCTGTGTGGTCAGTATGAATGCAGGCATCCCCCTAACTCCAAGTTCTGCCATTCTTGAAAACCCCTATCCTTCCTGGGGAACTGGGATTTCTCAGGCAGTTTTGCAGTGGTGGTATCCAAGGGACTTATCAGTTTCAAGCCATAGCTCCATCTGAGATGGAGTTCCAAGAAGGTTTAAGTTCAGGCCAGAGAGTTTGAACCCTTACACACAGTTGAGCCAGGTTCAATCTCTGCCCACATATGGTTCCCTGAGCTTTGCTGGGAGTGATCCCTGAGCACAGAACCAGAAGGAAGTCTTGAGAAGTGCCAGGTGTAGCCCTAAACAAATACAGGAAGCTTCAGATTTCATCAGTTAAATTTGCACTTTATCATTCTCAGCACCCAAAGCTAAAAGACAGAATTTGTAGCATTTATGGAGACACTGCTTGTAGAGAATTTCTCCTAGTTCCTTTAACAAAACCCAAGTCTTTTAATGTTTCAAGGGTGTCCCCCTGAGGTAAAAACATGTTTATTTCTCTTTGGGGTGCATTGTCCTCAAGGTTTTGTGTCACTGCCTCATACCGGATGGGGGAAACCAGGAAGGAAAACTGCTTTAGTGCAGGGCCACCGATTGTGTGAATGAATGTGTGAGAAACAGCCAGGTCCATGCTGAAACAGGAGTCTTGATGTGATTTGTAAATGAGTTGTTGGGTGAAATTTCTGGGAACCAACTCCTGGCTATGGTTCGACCGGTTCCCTGAGTGTCTCTTAATGGTGTCTTGTGATCTGTTCTGTTAATAGAGGAGGGGGAAAAAAGCTGGATTCTAATTATATCCTTCCAGCTTCTGTAACTGGGGATCCTCCTCAGAGACTCAGCTCTGCCTGATTAAGCTTCTCTTTGGTGTGAAACTTGTGGAATGACCCAGAGTTATGGGAATGATTTTCAAAGGAAAAAAAAACCCCAAAACCAGAAGTTTGGGCTAGAATGTTTGATTCTAAGTACTGTGGTTGGATATTCCTCTGGGTCTACAAAGCCAAATCGGTGACAGCAGGGGAGATGGGGTGCTTCTGTCCATCCTGTCTGACTGGGATTAGGGGTGCATTGGGCCCCCACCCATCTTCTCTTTCTGGGGTTCCTGCTTGTTTACCTGCCACTGAGGTCATCCCTTGGGCAAGCGGCCCAGCTGGAATTTGCCTGAGTGTGTCTGGGTAATCCGAGTCCACACAGGAGGCTTTCATTAGGATTCCTTGGGAGCGTGTAGTGTCACGCAGGGTCCACATGTAACAGAACCCTCCCTGGATCTGGGAGCATGCCTGGTTTCCTGGAGGCCACTGCCCGAGCCAGACACTTCCAGTTAGCTGTGGAGCTTCCCAGAGGACCACGCAGAGGGCAGGTCAACGAGCCTGGGAATGCTCTCCTGGCTTGTGGCCTATTCGCCTCCAGTGCCGGAAACACTGCGTGTGAACATGCATGCATGCGTGCCTGGGTCTTCACAGCTGAACCTGTCACTTAGCGCCTTGATGCTAGTGCTGCAGTTTGTGTTAATTAAGCCACATCCAAGTGTGGGCCACTGGTGGTTCATTGGGACATATACCAGCATTGGGACAACGGATGATGCCTTTTGTCTAAGTTGATCCAGGTTGCTAGTGTTCCTTTCTTGAAATCTGACCTGGTTCTGCATCTCCTGATGCTCCGGTCCTGCTTTTCTTTTATTAGCCTCTGCAGCAAAAGAGATGGTTGCCCCAACTCCAGTTTGGAACCACTCTGGTTTCCTGGGTAGTTAAGGCCCTTCCTGCAGCCCAGCTCTGGAAGCCACAGCTTTCCCACTGAGGCCTCTATATACATTTAAACCATGTGCTCTAAGAATCTTCCTTAACAAATTGCAATTAACTTCTCTCCAGCACATCCCAGAGACTAACCATGCATCATCCTTAAGAATAAATAAAATAGTCATCCCCAGAGTAGCTCCTTGAGCCCTTTGATAAAAGCAGGCTGAAAACGGCTGTTCTGCCACACCCTATCTGCTCCCAGTAGCTCTGTGATCCCTGGGGTTGCTCCCGGCAGGAAGGAGGTGGTGGGAAAGAGAATCTCAGTAGATTCGGAACTTGGGTTAAACGGAAAACCTCAAGCACTTGAGAAATCATCAAGGCTGTGGGTCTCAGCAAAAATGCAGGAGATGACCTCTGACCTTGGATGAAGGAAGCAAACACTGTGTACTCAGGTGCCCATGAGTCTGGCCTGAAGGCAGGGTCTCAGTTTCCCCAATCCTCCAGCTACGGTCCAGTGACCAGCAGGGTCAGCTGTACCTGGGGACTCACTTAAACATGATCCGATTCTGCCTTTTACAAGTCCCAGAATTCATGCAGAGCTCTGTGTGGTAGACATAGTGTGGTCTTTTTTTTACCCAGAAAGACAGGAAATAAGCCCAACCCAGCATCCGTTGAGCTCTTTGGCCATCTTTCCTATGGGTGCAGCACCTTGGCCTCTCCTGAGTCTCCTCCTACAAGCTCAGGGCAGGGGATTTGTAATGTCAGGAGACTAATTCACAAAGCTAAGTTTCTGGAGAAGGTCAGTTACAGGAAAGTATCTCCAAATGTTTGGGAGTAAGAATGGTTGGCACCAAACTCCTTCTGGGGTGAATGAATTGTTACTGAATGTCCTTTGATCTTTGAGGTTAATGAAGATGATAATTGCCCTCCCTCTCCAGTACTCCAACCCAAGACTTGAGCAATTGTACTAGTTAAGAGTAGAATCCAGGGGCTGGAGTGATAACACAGCAGGTAGGGCATTTGTCTTGCATGCAGCTGACCCAAATTTGATTCTCAGTATCTCATATGGTCCCCTGAGCACCACCAGGAATAATTCCTGAGTGCATGGAACAGGAGTAACCCCTGTGCAATGCCGGGTATGACACCCCCCCCCAAAAAAAAAGAGTAGAGTCCACCCTATGGGCCTCTTCCGAGTTTTTGTAAACTTATGTACTATAATGATCTGCATTTCATAGATGAGAAAAATGAAGTACAAGGTTTTCAAATGACTTTGCCATCAGGCCACTAGTATGAGCTCAGTGACTGTGAGATCTTAGTCATGTAGCTTGTGCATATATTCTTCTCTTGTGATTCTAGTGGATTTGGGGCCCCGTGGGTGACAGCAGGAAGCTGAAAAGCCTTGCCATTTCTTAGAGATTTCTTCCCTGTATGTGGGAGTTTCGTTACAGATAGCTGTTGTGAGTCGTCTTTGTGGTCACTTTGCCGGATGAAGAAATTCCAGTCACTCCCCAAGTCATCCTCATATCTCATATGAGACAAGCCTGAGTTGTCATAGAGTTTATGAAGCAAAGATG